GGGAAGCCACCTGGCCCAGAACCCTGAACTGGAAAGGTGCAAGTTCAGGAGTCCCACAGAGCGCGGGCTGCAGAGGACAAGTCCTCTCTTGGTTGCAGCACAAGGCATGCTCTGGGTTGCCCCAGAGGCTTTTCCTGCATGCGCAGACTAGCTTTGGTTTCCCAGCCTCATTTTCCTGGTGCCTGAGCTTTGTGGAGGGGCCTCTCTTGCCTCCCCCCCGCCCGCTTGCTGGCCTTTCCTCACAAAAATCCTGACCTTTGCACACCCTGTGATTGTGGCCCTCACCTCTCTCTGGGTGAGCGCCTCTCTTCCACGCCTCTGGCTGTCCCTGTTCCCTTTGCCCTGACTAGTGTGTGTGTGTGTGTGTATGGGGGGGGCGGAGATGGCTGTCTGGCTTCCCGCTTAAGGGATGGGATGTTTCTCTCCCGTTTCCCTGTTGTGTCCTGCCCCTTCAGTCATGCTGGGGCTAGTCCCATGGATGAAGCGCTGGCCTTTATCTGTGTCTCACTTAGATTATGTTGGGTTCTGAGGGTCTTCTCTAAGTACAATTAGTCCTAGAGCCAACGTGCTTTGGTCTTTGTGTCCAAAGATGTCTCTGTCCGAAAGGCCTGGGTGTTTGTTCTCATTCAGGAACGTCCCCTCCCTGGGCCGGCGTCTGCCCGTGCCACCTGGCAGTGCCCCAAAGGTAGCCTGGGATTCTGGGCTGGCTTTTCTGCTGCGGGGCTTCCTGGAAGAAGGACTGGCCGAGGAGGGCTCTCTGGTTCCCCCAGGGAGATATTGCCATGGCGGGGACGGATTTGCAGCTGGCTGAGGCTTGTGCTGGGAGCGTCATTGATACCAGATGGCCTGCAGCCAACTCTGGCTGCGTCTGGAAGATCTCCGCTGTGCAGATGGAAATTCAATCCAGTAATGGATGAGGAAGAAAAGGTGCTTGGGGCTTCCTTCTGGCTGGAAGCAGTGCTCTCAAGTCCCACTGTGTGTGTGTGTGGGGGGGAGTCCCTTCCCTTCTCAAAAAAGGGCGGGAGTGCCCCCACACGTGTGCAACAGATGGCCCAGATTTCTTGGCCAGCATTAGAGAGTGTAACCCAAGCCCCTTTCTGTTCCCTGCTTCTTGGAAGCCGCCGCCTGTTTCCCTGCTTGGCAGGAGCATCCAGTTTGGCCCCCAACCCGGACAACACAATGGCCCGGCAGCTTCTCTTGATCTCCGAGCCCAGCTGCCTTGGGTGGGAGGGAGCCCAAAAGCTGGGCTAGCACCTCCTCGCCTGGACACCTGATCTCCCTTCCCCCCCCCCACAGCTGCAGCAAGAGCAAACTGTTTTGACCAAATTTGGAGACAAGAGCTCCCTTCTTCTTCCTGGGAGTGCGGCTGCTCGGTGGAAGCCAGAGAGCCCTGCTGCCTGCCTCTCCCTCTGGCACCAACCCTCCCCACCCCAGGTTCCTTGCTAGAATGCAAGATGGCCGTAGTGCCCACAGGTGAAGAGGCCATTGAGATGCCTTGTGGGCCCCTGGCAAGACTTTTTTTGGGGGGGGGTTTCAGGAAATGAGATGGTGCATTGCCCTGCATTGAAGCGCTTAAAGGAGCTGAGGGCCTGCTTTCCTCTCTTGGCTCTCTGGGCTTCTCTCACAATCAGGAGGAGCTGCACACAGAAGAGACTTGCGTGTGTCTGCTTGCTTGTGCTGGACTGCACAGGGCAGAGGCGCCCAGGCCTTGGAGGCCACAGAAGGCTGCTGGAGGAGGGGCGCTTTGCTTCCTTTTTCTTTCCCAATTGTCAAAAGTCGTGCTCACTAGATAACCATGACACATTTCCTAAATGTTGCATTGTACATGATGCCTCCTCTTCTTTGGGAACAAGAACACAGGATAAGCCCCAGCAGGCAAAGAACTCTGGGCAGGATGCCCTCAGGGTGCCAGCCAGGCTGCAGAAGCCCTTCTGGGACAGTCCTCTGGTGGTCAGCCAACCAGCTGAGGTTCACTTACTTACAGTGCAGGTGTGCCTGGAAGTGGGAGGTGATGCAGCTCCTCAGAGGTGCGCCATCCAGAAGGCACAGTTTGGCAGCTTCCGGACCGGACAGTACTCCTGGAGAGACCAAGGGCTACTGTGGCCAAGAGTACCTGTGCCCGGAAGGGTCTGACGGAACAGTCGCTCCGGCTTCTTCAGAGGGCTAACCTGGACACTCCAGTCAAAGCCTCCTCCTCTTCAGGCTGAATGTTTGAAGTCGCTGCATCCTTGTGAGGTTGCTACCATGCCCTCTGTGTGGTGGTGCTGGGCTTTGTGAACCACAGCAGATGCAAAGGGTGACAGCTAGATTTCTTTCTTTCTTTTTCCTGGCATGTGCTTCGTGCGCCACATACATCGAATCTTGTGCCAATTACAGTAGCTCCTGGTGTGCTTAGAGTGCTGGAAAAAGCTGCTCCTTCTTCACTGTCAATGCCTAACTGGTTTGCTATCAGGATATCATATCTCTAAATGAGCCCATGCCTAACTTAATTGTCTTCTTCAGAAGACCTGTCACATGCCTCTACACCAAGGAAACAGATTACCTACTTGGTTACAATCAACAGATCAGATAACAAGGAAACAGAAATTGGTAGGGGACCAGGTCAGGGCTTTCTCGAGATATACGTGTGTGTGTGTTTGCCTGTGTGGTGGAAGACTCTCCCTTAGAAATCGAAAATTACCACAAACCTGGATTTGCTCACACTGCCTTGTGATTTCAAGGGTTTTCAAAAGCTTTACTGTCTAGTAATGGAGTTTTCAATAGCTTTACTCCATAGTACTGAAGTTGCCTTAATCTCAGGATGTTGTAAAGTTGGTTTGCTCTGCTTTTCATTTGAATGGTTTGAAGGGACTGTATTTGACTCTGTTTATTGCTGTCTGGGCTCTTTGGGGTTACAAAATGATGCACCAATAGCAATGACACAGAAGGTGTGTCTGCCCCCAGGCGCCCGGAAGGTGGCACATGCTTTCAGTGAGGCCTAGCCGTGTGCCCCTTGGGGTACTTCTGCTTTCAGAATTGGATTGATTAATGCTCTTGTTTTATTTCTTTGTAAAGTTGCTTGCAGCCTGAAGTACCATTTTCAGCCACTTGATACCAGATGGTTTCTAGAAATGGAAAGTAGAGGCAGGCCTGGGAAGTTCGATTCTTCTTGGGGTCTCCTGGCAGCTTTATGCTACTCTTCCATCCGAAGGGCCCCATGCTATGAAAGAGAGAGAGGGAGGAGGAGGAGGAGGAGGACTCCTGCCCATATGTGCCATACCTGGGAGGGTGGCAGGTGGAGTAACCCAGTAAAGGAAAGGCTGAAAAAGTACTGGTGTGGAGGGACAGAGAGAGATGAGCAAGGAAGCAAAGGAGTGACAGAGAAGAAGGTAGAGGGGAAAAGCCAGACAGGGGACTAAGTTTGTTGCGCTTGCCAAATCTGGACACTTCTGCTAGGCATTTGGAAAATGCATGTGTCCCTTTACGCAAAATCTCTTATGGAAGAAGTGAGGGGTGCCTGGCCTTCGGAAAAAGAGCTACGTTACTCTGTGCAAGCATATCCAGGCAGAAATCAAAACAAAACAATAAAACAAAAATAGAAAACAAAGAGGTTGTCTTACCTTAAAGACTGTTACATTTCAGTGTCAGCCTTTTTATACAGTAGCTGAATCCACACATGTCTGAGAAAGTGGGTTTGATCTGTGAAAGCTCACGCCCAAACAGAACAGTTAAGTGATACAATGTTTTCATTTTGTGTTTTCTCCAGTGTGCCTTACTGCCCTGGCTCTTTCTCAGCGATGAGTTGTTGTGGGTGGAGCCTCTTGTGTGTCTGCGCGTGGGGGGGGCTGCACTGCACTGCTCAAGATGCAGGCTTGCAGGCACACTGGCCCTAGGGGTGAATGGAGCAGGACAGAATGAGAGGCAGAAGAGGGGCATGGCATGGCTAATGAGGGTAATCAGCTGTGATGCCCCCCCCATGGAGTGAATGGATCTCTTCCCTTCTTTCTCTTTCCCCATCTCCCCCCCCCCCACACACACACACACGGAGCACATGTGATGGGTTACTTACAGCCTCTCTCCCTGGGCCTGGAGCTGCCCTCTGCCCTGGTCTCAGAGCTGGCCTGATGATCAGTGGCAGATGCCATCCCAAGAAAGGGGGCAGACCCCCTTCTCCCCGCTGGGGAACTTGCCCAGGTGGCTTTGCTCACAGGAACCAATACTCTCCTCTGGGGGAGAGGTGGTGGGACTGCCCACAGCTGCGCAGTGTGTGTGTGTGTGTGTGTGTGTGTGTGAGAGAGAGAGAGAGAGAGAGAGAGAGAAGAGTCCAGAGGAGAGGGGGGTTCAGAAAGGGATGGCAGGCCTTCCCCTGTCCCCGGGGGGGCCCCCTCTTTCCCTAGGGCTTCTGTAAGAAAGGCGTGAAATGTTGGGATTTCCAGGAGTCCCCCTTGCTGTTGGCTGGTGGGGCAGGAACAAGAGGGGTGGGTGGGCCGCCAGTGGGGGGGGGGGGGAAATGGGACAGGGGGTCTTGGGCAAGGCCTTTGTTC